ACTGCAGTCTCCCCTTACCCGAGGGGAATACGTTTCAAGACCCGCAGTGGATGCCTGAAATCTTGGATACTGCTGACCCCTATATATATATTGTTTTCTTTCCCTATACATACATACCTTTGATGAAGTTTAATTTATAAATTACACGGTAGGAGATTACAATATAACAACAATTATAATATATTGTAATAATTTATATACACGTGCTCTCAAAATCATACTATATTGTTATTTGCCCCTTTCCGTGTGATGATGTGAGATAATAAAATGCCTACATGCTGAGATGAAGTAAGGAGAATGATGTAGGCACTGTGATGGGGCGTTAGGCCACTACTGAACTTCAGAGGATCTGCTGCTTCCAGACCAAGGTTAGGGCGGATAACTGAAACCGTGGATAAGAAGGGACAGCCAAAGTTGCCTGGGAGTCAGCGGACAAGGGCTCGAGCTCTGCCACTGACTGAACAAACTGCAGCTTTTCTCTGGGTCTTTTTCTTCTTTTTTACAAAACAAGAGCTATCATTGTTCTAAAACTGTAATTCACTTTCTAGATGAACAAATTAAATCCAAGGGTAAAAAAATGATTTAACTCTCCTAGAAATCATGCTGTACTCCATACAGTTGGCCAGATAGTAGACAGCTTTAATAGTGTTTCAGTAACTGGTTGCACAAATGATTATCCAAACTATAGGTATCAGTATAAAAGCCATGGTAATTCAGAAAGAGGAAAATAGTTCTTAAAGGAAGAACTAATCTATCTTATGTACATGGGAAGATTTAAGCTTCCCACTACCAGATGTTAAACATGCAGATGTGCCACATATCCATCTGCTCTAGAAACTTCCCTACTGCCACATTCTTGCCTTGTAGTTCTGAGGGGCTGAGCAGCCACGCCTCGGCTGTGGAGGCTTTCTGCTTGGCTGGCTTCAGACAAAGTTACCATTAACTCCCCAACCTGCAAGAAAATTATTTGACACAAAGGATTTCAAAATGTCCTCCTCTCCCCCTACAAGCCTGCAAACAAATGGTACAGGAATGAGGTCAGAAAGGAATCCCCTGCCCACTAGCCCTCTGAATTCATTTACCTACCTCAGAGCCCATTCAGAGAAAGGGGAGGGACCTGGAACAAGAAATGCTCAGAGGCCAAGTGGAGTTTGGGGGTCGAGCGCTACATTACAAGATTTGACAGGCCTTTGCCAGCCTTCAGCTTCTTTGTGTCTCTCTCATAATAGAGAAACACAAACTGAGCAGCACACGATCTGTGGTTATACCCTTGGACAGAGCACACTCTTTGCAAATGCTAATAGTATTGTAGCATCCTGTCACCCAGGAACACAAAAAAGGATGTTGATTTTCACATGAACCAGAACAGGCCCATTGTACACAAGTTTGTGACCAACTTGTAGGATCTGCACATCAAAAGCCCAGCCAATCATGGGGGATACAGCTGGTGAGCCACACCGAAAGGGGTGCCCAATGGGGAGGACAAGATCCAAATGCTCCATCTACCAATACCTTCTGCACCACCATGGCTTTTTAACTGATGCTTACCATATCGATTTCCATTCTAATGGTCTTGGGAAACTAGAAACTCTCAGGGCAAGAAAATTAAATAATGACTATATGTGATACTCCTGAAAATAAATGTAGTCAAAATGATAAGGCCTATGCTAGTAGCTTTCCTTTCAGGTGTTCAATTTATTAGAAACCAAAAGGCAGTCAAAAAACCTTGGGGAAAATAAAACATTCAATCAAGGTTTTAAAAACTGGGGTAAAAATAATTCTGTTATCTTAAACAGCTGGGCTAACTCAAAAGGATTGAGAGAATATGCACTTTCATAAGATGGGAAAATTAAGATGATTAACTGGTGAGGAAAAATTGCAAAGTACTCATTTTACTCACATTTTACTTAAGGTCTGGGATTGACATGAGATTGTAGCCCCCTGAGTATCAGTATCGCCCTGGCTGCCAGGATCCTACAGTAAACCAAATCTCTTTGCAGTTTCCATTATTGGGGATCCATCAAGAGCCTTGTATAATTAGGGAAACCATCCTGGGCCATTTCTGTAAAGTTAGCTCATTCTGCACTTTGCAGGAATATCAGTGCCCTGAGGTACTCCTAGCTGCCTAAGTAAGTTCATTTGCCTCAGAGCGTCTTTGAGAGAGCACATTTTAGAATGCATAGGCTTGTAACTGGGTTTGTTTCCAAATTTAGATTTTGGGACACTAAGAAGGACCTGAGGCAAGTTACTTAAAACTTTCCTGAGCCTATTTCCTCATTTGCCAAATGTATGTATGGCAAAATGCAAATAATACCGCCTGTGATAATGGAGGCAAGACATAAGACTTACAGGTTCCTTTGCTTCACATTCAAGGTTTTCCTAACTTTAAAGTTTAAAAGGAAAACCAAGTTTCATAGGGTCAATCCTTGGCAAGACAGGATACTGGTGATTAAAAAGGCTTAAACGACGTTACTAGATGGATCCCTGTACACTTCTGTGTTGTGTTCTTAGTCCTTCGAAGACCTTCATAATGGGCCCTTAGTAAGGGTGTTACTATCCCTGGACTGGCTGCAGATGAGGCATCATCTATTTGTACCTTTCTCCCAACATGTATCAGGAACCTCCTGTTAGTGTTGCTCATGGAAGTGAGGAGGGGGCTCACTATTGTCACTGGGTTTGTGCTGTGTTCTTTGGGGAAAGTTAAGGGGACTTCTGTTTCTTACTATATATAAGTTGATTGTCGAAAAAAACTACATACATTTGGCATGCAAGGAGACTGGCTGTGTACCACCTGGAACATCACTGACTGCAAGTGTGAGAACTTTCGTCTTAAGCCCTCTAGACAAATACATTTCTTAACAGAAATAGCAAGCATTGCATTCTGTTAATGAGGCATGACTGCTTCTGTGTTAAGATGTATGGAAAAGAGAAATTAAAAACAAAAATGGAATCCAAGCTAAGGGAGCAGGAAAATGGATGGTTCATTCCTTAAGTTAGGAGGTGAATTAATTTCAGCATTTCCTGGCAGTTGAAGCAAAGAAACAGGGAAGGTCTTGAGTTCTCTTTGACGGAAGGAAAGCAGCAGATGTATTTGTCTGGACCTGGAAACTTTACTGGCACTGAACTATCTAGTAATCCTTCCTTTAATGAATTTAAGTGATTGGTGACATGTCATTTTGCTTCTGCAAAGATACTCCGTATTATCTTCAAATAGATGCATCACATAATATTTGTCTGTGAAAGCCAAGGGGAACTGAGATAAATTGACAGGTAGGTAACATAAGTAGTTCAGGCAGTACTGCTTTCTGAAGATTTTGCCTAATTCTCATAAACTTTAGCAAAGTAAGAAGATGGATTAACCTAGTGTCTACATACTTTCTCACAAACATTAGAGTTCTAAGTTTTTGTCAAATGCAAGATCATGTAAAGCATGACCATATTTTCTGATAAGTAGGTAAAAGTCTAATTTCCATGTTGTTGCTTTGTGACTTAGTTACTCCAAGAGTCAGCAGCAGAACTAGCATTTCTGCTCAGAAAATTAAGGAGTGTAACTTGTATAAACATTCATGAGCCATGCCTCTGTGGGGGGCTGCGGGCAGTGCCACAGCATGGTGACTGGGTCTTCAGTGTGGCTTCTGGTCTACAGCTTTCTTTTTTTTAAAACAACTTTTTGAATTTTTTCAAAAACTTGAAAAGGAACCAGGTTACACCTGAGTTAATTAATTAAAAACAAATAAGAATTGTTTACCATAAAGAATGAAATAGCAACTGATTTAAAAACATTTCAGTCTAGAAAGTTCAACTCTTGTCATTTTAAGATACATATTTAACCCAATGCCTAATGATTTTCTTTACTCTTTATAAACCATCTTTTTCAGGCTAAAGATATTTAAACTTTCCTGAGTCTGTCCTGCTTTTCTTAGTCTTTGGCAATTTCTGTAGTACTTAACTCTTAAGTTTTCTACATCTATCAACTTAGTCTAATATATGCAGGAAATATGACTTGGTTATCACAATTGGGTACGCTTGTTTTAAGACACATTTTGTAGCATAATTAAATAATACATCTGCATTACTTATAAGCACCTAGTAGCTACTTCACTTTGTGAAAGATATTAATTGTTCAACTGGAAGTGTTAGAAGAAAAACAGGTAAGTTTTCTTCTATTAAATCTTCAGGAAGTAAACTCTTCAAATATAAAGATTTTGCACTTGAATTACACAAAAGATGAAAACTTAATTTAAAATAAAACTCTTTTTGGGCCTCACACTAGGATTGGTCTGGTAGCAGTAGTAGTGAAATACATGCCAATATGATCGAAACATATTCTTCCCTATAAGCCCACTAAAGATATTCAGATAGTCTCTTGACATTTATTCACCAGAAATATACCAAACTCCAGCTCCTATGTACTTCATGAAACAATTGTGACTTCTGGGTCTTTTCCTAGTTTTGACTCTAGTTAATTATATATATTCTAAGGCACACCTACCTTTTGCCATAATTTACACATCTATTGATCAACAAATATTTAATAAACATCATTGATGAGCAGAGTTCTGGAGGAATAAAAAACTGCAAAACGGAAGTTTACGGTTAGGTGGCAGATAGAATTAAGTGATCTTTAAGATTCCTTCCAGTTCTAAACTTAGGTGTGACTTTTTAGTAAGCTTCATGTAAGTATGAACATGTTAGGATCACAAATGAAAATGATGGCCATGGCAGTAAAATGCAATCTAAAAACGTTTTTTATATATTTTACCAAAGAAAATACCAAAATGTTTTGATAAGTTTCCAGACAAGAAAAAAAGCACGGTTTGACCATGGATTACAACCGTGAAGTGAGGCATGTGCAATTCAAGCCTTCAGAGAAAAGCCACATTCAGAGACTTGATAGGTCATAAATTTGATTATACGTGGTTCAAATTATGACCCAAGGTGCACAGGTATCTCTATCTCCCTCATTAAGACAGAGAAAACTTAAAAGACGCTCTCCAATATAGAATTATAATGTGACTTAAATGTCTTTAATTGTTCATCTACACAAATGACCGTAAATCAGGCACAAGCAAATATAAATTCCAGTAACACATACATGTAATGTAAACGTTTTTAAAAATAATACAAAGTTCACTCACAGTGCACAAGTAAAAACAAGGCTGAGTTTTAAATACTTAAACATACAGACAGCCATGATTGTTCAAAAGGTAAGCATATGTGTAAGCACATACCTAGTATTGAAGCCTGAAACTATGGCACATACCAGTTTAGCAGACTGAGATTAAAAGCATTACTTTGATCCCCTTTATTGGAAAACTGCCATATTTCATTCACAGATAAGCACATCTAAAATAAATAAATACAAAATTATTAACCAGTTCAGGAGTTTATCTAACCTACAACTCTGAATCATCAATTTTCAAATTCCCAAATTATAAGGTTAGGTAGCAACACTCTCTGCAATGTTCCTGCTCCTTGTTATACTATTCATTTGCATTTGGAAGCTAATTTATTTGTTGGAAGAGTCTGTTGGATTAAAGCCTGGAAAAGGGGGAATAATACAAAGAGGAGAGAATATAATTAATCTACTAAGAAAGGCTGATTGCTTCACTTAAAACTACAGCTCAGTTGGTTCAACCATGAAGCAGCAAGAACTGTTAGGTTCCTACTGTGCATTGCCTACATATACTTTCTAAAATTGATATCCTGACTGAGTAGATTTTAGATATAATCTATTTACAGTTGTTCAGTCTTCCATACAGAGCTTTGTTCACTCAAGTCTTTGCAGATTCTGGCATGAAAAACAAATAATTCCTGGTCTAGTTAGAATTTAACTTCTACATATTGAATTTCTGAAGTGATCTGTTTGAATCATTACTTTTTGTACTAGATACAATACACAGGGTTTACTGTTAAGAATCCAAATTTTGTTTGTTTTTTAGAAACATTTGTACTTAATAAATACGTAGCTTGCAAGGGAAGAAAAGGCATGCTTAGGATGATATCAGGTAAAAAGGAAAAAAAATTATATAATCCATGAAAGAAAAAAGTTCTATCATTGAGCGGGGTGGGGGAATATCTGGACTCTTACGTGGAAATTTTATCTAATATTTATATTTAAATTATCTCAAAGAAATGAAGATAAACTACCCTCCTTTCCTAAATTTACAAAAAGAGGTATGACAAAAATACTGACTTAACATCAGCCTTTTGCTTGGGAGAAATGTGTAGAAATACAGCTGAGGGCACTTCTTCCTATCTACAGCTCACAGAAATTAATATGGTCCTATATTTTTCTTTAGAAAATAGGTTTTTAAAGTGGTTGTTTTACAACTGCAAAGATATTAATAACTGCATGGTGTCTGCTTCAGGGAGGGGCCGGCACTGGCGAGGCAGTCACCCAGCGAGGCCCCCTCTAATCGCTGCAGAAAACAGTGGGAGCTCTACTCCCTTCTGTTCATCCACTATCCCTAGACCCAAAGGACACATGAAATGTACTTGACTACTCACCCACCATAACAATGTGCACTGCAGCTAGAGGCTTCTGAAAGGATCTAATTTTCCTATCAAACACTACAAAATAAGTATTTACTGAATTCTCAATTTCTGAAATATTCCGTGATATCCTTCAACCTTGCATAGTGTCAGATCGTGACAGTGATCACAGTGAGGAATGTGACAAACAAACAATCATGTGGGTGGCAAAGGAACTATTACCAAAATACAACAAAAAAAACCTGAAAAATTAAGTATAAACTCTAAAATAAAAGCTGTCACAGAGTGGGCACTTTTATTAGAATAATAAAGGCTTAAGGAAATGGCAGCAAAGAGCAGAGTTAAATGAGAAAGACATTTTTAGTTAAAAATGGCATATTTCTTTGCTTTAAAGTCTTTCAGCCAGTAAAAAAAAATATATAGAACACATGAAAATGCTGTGAGGGTATTATTATAATTGAACTGCAATGATTTAAACTTTATTTTTCTTTCTTTTTTTTAAGCATTAAGCTTTATTTTTCTTTAAACATGAAAAGAGGGGGATGGTCAACATTATTTTAATTGTTGAAATAACTTCTATTTAAAATACAGTCTTAATGAAAGAAAACCTTTTACTGATGCTTAGTTGAAATGTTTGACAACAGTCTAAATGAAATTAGTCAATGGATTATTCTTAATCTTCCTTGTCCTATGTCACAATCTAATAGCTCTGTCAACAGGTAAAAAACACTTAACAGAAAGCCTAGCTCAAGCATACAACATCCAAAATGAATGAATTTCAAATGTATACAGTGAGTACAAAAATATCAACTGAATCAAACAGGTAAGCTGCTACTGACTTAGCTTCCAAGGGCGACTCTCCAAGCTGTCACTGAGAATTGAAATCTCATTCACTGAATGCACACGGAATTGCAATCCACATTAACCTATCTGAGGGGTTCTTCTGATAACTGGTTTTCTTTCATGATCAATATAAACTGAATTGTCATGGTCAAATAGTTTCCGGATATAGAATATTACAGATGCAGATAACAACTTAGCAAGTTACCATTATTTTATATACAATTGATATTTTTTAGAAAATTGCTGTAAGTTTTATTTCAAAACACCTAGCATTCTTTTTCTGGAGAAGAAACTGCCATCAAATAACATCAACTAATGAATTAGTTGAACCAGTGCACCACACATGAGACAACAAGCAGGAGAGCAAGTTTCTTGTCTTCAAGGACTGAACCTAATGGCCATATACCACTTATATTATCCCAGTTTGTCACTTCAATACAATAAATTGGATGTTAATATCATTTCCACTGTTTTTTATTCAAAAGGCAGCTGGTGGTTAAAGTGCCTCTAACACTCATAAATTATTTTTACCCCATGACTTTATTTTATATTTAGAAAGGTGGGAAGAAAAAAGGGAGGACAAAAGACTTTGGAGTTTTCTTTCTTCAGTTGTGTGCAGAGGTGATTATATTGAGTAGGATTCTGTAAAAATAAACACATTTGATGAATTTAGGTCTGGGGAGACAAATGCAAAATTTCTAAGTACACTTCATTAGTTTCATAAAAGTGTTGATAATCATTAAAATACTGAAGCTTAACTTCCTAAGTTTGCTAGTTTTATTATATTTAAAATATCACCCTCCATGGCACTCAACATAATTTTATCAAACATGATGTATGAATCAAAAACTACTGAAATTTATTTCTTATAGGAAAAAAAGTTAAAAACATACTAAAACTGATCAGTGGGAGGAATCTATGTGTGGCTGTATTGCATATGAATACCCTTAGCAAAGATCAGAATTAGTTACTTAAAACTATCAGGCTGACAAGCTCCACACATGTTAAAAACTCTCATTTCAGGGTACAAAATAGATCATCTTTTCAGTTCAGATACTTGGAACAGTTCAGAGTTATAAATACCAAGGGTTTGGGAGGGCCTTAGGGACTGTAGACAAAAAGGGAACAAAGAAAGTTGGGATGGTTTCCTTATACAAATATCATCACCACTTGGCTCTTAGGACTGCCCTGGCATGCACCTGGCAGACACTCTGGCAGGATTCGGCATGTTCCCGGCAGCAGTGGGAACTATAGATGGTACACTGACTAGCTTAGGGAAGTCACACCGACTATTATGTAAAGCACTGGCTGGCTTTGGACTTTCTCATTTCATTAAAAAGAAAGAAATGTAGTTTACATTTTTAAAAGTTTTTGTACTTTAATGAATTTTCTCCTCCCAAAAGCCCCATTTATAAACAAAAATATCAAGTAAACTCTGGTGCTGAAAAGAATCTCCAAATCAAGATGGCTCTCAAAACTTTTCTAACATTAACTGTTGATAGGAATCATGATGACGAAGATATAACACTTCATGGTTTTTAAAGAAAATTTTCATACACTGGAGTTGTATAAAATATTTACAAACATAAACTTAAAATAACAATTATTTCTGACCTGTGTTAAAGATGACTGACATTTGTTTCTAGACTTATTTTTGTATACACCTGTACATCTATCTTATGAAAGAGACAAACAAAACAAAGTAACAATGTATTACTCTAAAGTTTTCTAACTCCTTCCTCCCACTCATTGCTCGTGAATTATTCTGAATGATGTCTGAGCTGTGCTCCCCTTTCTAGCTTGCTTTCTCAAATACACTGCTCTTATAGTAGAGGACAGTAGGGAGTTTGATTAAAGAGCTTTTTCCAAACTGAGTACAGCCAAGGAGGGAATCTTTTATTCTTCTACTAGTTCTGACTGTGTTGCAGGCTGCCTAGAGGATAAGGTTCACAGTTAAAGTGACTAATTAAATATTTTAAATAAATTATAATGTCTTAATTATAGCATTTTCCTTTTCTCAACATATTCAATAAAAGCAAAAGACTTACTAATTATAATTCTTCAGTGATAATTATCAATTTACTGTGCTACTAAGGGAAGTCTCTAAACATGCAATATTTTATTGGGAACATGCTTAAAATGCCAGATTATAAAATTGGAAAAGAGAGTCTACACATTCTGAAGAGTACTAAATTCTAAGGCTATCTTAGTTACTTTAAACAGGAGAAAGTTTCATCTAAATGTTTTTAAACATAAAATAATAAGATTAAGATCAATTATTAAGGTTTTTAGTCAAGCCAAATAAAAAGTTTGTGAGTTAACATATACATAATTATCCATCAAATCTGAGGAATAACATGAGAGCTATAGTTTAATTCTTAAATATGCAGAAAACTTATAAGCTACTGTATATTATGAAATATCTTAGCTTTGTGCACCTTTATTCTGTTGGAGGATATTTTTAGTTCAGTCAGAAGGCAATCAAATATTCAAAGGAGCAATATGAAATTTAGAATCTAGTTTCAGAGATCCCTGCCATTAAAGGTACTTAATTACATTAAAATAATTATTAAGGAGCAAGTAGGATAGTCAAGTAGAATGACAACTATTAAAATAAGTTTAAAAGATAAACTTTGCGCCTAGTCAGAACCAATGCAGTAAGAGGACTTTTACTCACTTACTACAATTATTTCTCCTGATGAAGAGCTTCAATAAAAGCATCAAGTTTTTCTTGAATTTCTCTAACTTTCTCTGTGGAGACAAAAAGAGACAGTTGGCTAAAAATGAATTTATTTTTCAAAGGCATCACAAATCACAGGAGATAATCACTCAAATAAGATCTGGGATACTTTAACTATTTGGGAAAGGGGGAAGACGTTCCCTTAGCACACACGACCTCTTATCTAAATAAAGTTCAAATGGATAGTAGTAATAGCTCTTAACAATTTTTTTGGAAAGGGGAGGAGGATGAGGTCTGTGACAGACCCCTTTGAGAATCTTATAAAGGTTATGGAATCTTAGAAAAATGCATGTATAGATACACATACAGTTATGTATAGAATTTTAAAGAGTTCTTGGATTCTCCAGAGTCCATCAGGACTCACAGTTAGCAACGTCTGGAACAGAGCAAAATACAAAATAGTGAAACTATTTTTTAAAATTAAATGAGAATATAGGTATTTAATTGGCCTTAGACTGGGAAATGACTTTCGAGGTATAAAGTAACAGGAACAGTTACAAAGGAAAAGATCAACCAGTATGATCACATTAAAATGTGCATTTTATATGTCAAAATGCCCTAAAATGAGAAGACAAAAGAAACTGTAGGAAATATTTGCAGCAAACATGAAAAGGACAACAACACTTTAAAAATACATACAAAAATATACCATACTAGTTGTGAATGAGGAAAAGTTTAAAACATCAGAGCCACTCAAAATAGATATATATTATTTTTATTTTAGTTTTTTATATTTATAGACTTCAAAGTAAAATCTATAATTTATCTCTAAAATATAAAGATTTTCACAAAGGTAAACTCTTCACAGTGCATGATATTAAAAATGGAAAAGTAATGGTCTATTCTACTTCATTGCTACCTTAATCATTAAACTCCTATTTTAAAATGGTAAGCAAATTTAAAAAATTTTTGTCCCTTTAATACAATTTAATATATTACTGGGGATTATCAATAAAAGTGAGGTGACTGGTTGAAAGTTAGTGACTTACAGGGAAAACTGCAAAGCATTCTATGTGATTCTAGAGAAATCATGTAAGATGCTTTAAGATTCAACATTTGTATCTTTTACATTTAAAAATAAATAATCAGTAACTGAAGATATAAGTATCCCTTTCTATCAGTGAGACAGCATTTGCAATGAGAAGCCAATAAAAGAAATGACCTTTTCATGAATTTTTATTAGCACTGCAGGAACTCAACAAAGCCTACCATGGCTGTATATAAAAAACATGATGTCTTTATCTACTTTTTCCAGTAACTTAACACTTCTAATTCTTCATATTACATCGAGACTAACACCAAATCTATAGGAAGAAAATCCCTATTGTTTTAATCAAACTATTTACTGAGAAAATATAATAGCTATCACAAAGACAGCAATAACTCTTTATAATAAAGTAGAAAAACTAGAAAAAAGAATTCCAACATATCTCTTGGAAGTTTAGTCTGTACTTTTTGGTAGTCTGTACTATTTTTTAATCTGCAGTCAAACTAGTAAATAAAATTCCTTTCTCAAAATATGGTCACATTTTTATTTTTAAAATTAATTCAGCTGTTATTGTTAATTCAATAGCAACTTCATTTTCTTCAATGACTATTTAGAGAGTTACACAGTACAGTTTATTAGTTAAAGAATTTTTTAAAAGGGTGGGAACATAGGAGGAAAACAAGATTTCTAAATTGTCTCATAGAGTTTTGAAAATGAATGGGATCTTTAAAAAATCTTCTAGCTTAACTAGCACAACACGTGGAAATCTAAAACAGGTATTTAGAGCCTAAGCATTTCACTGAGAACTATTTCTATTGGGGAGAGCTGTACTGTATGAAGAGAAGAAATCTGATTCTATTTGCTTCAAGATCTGAGGGCAATCAGGCAGCTGCAGGGCCAGCCTATCTATGCTTTTGCCCTGTCAGTGACCCCTTCCTCAGTTGGGCACTCTGTGAGCAGGTGGCACAGTAGCATCACTCACGAGAGACTACACGGAGCAAAGTTTGATCTGCAACACCAAGAGCCATTCCAATGCAGGCATTTAACTGGGTAGCTGGAATCAAATTCAAATTCTTCCAAAATCAGAGATAAGCAATGTTTTTTCCAAGTGAAAGGCCTATTTCATATGAAAACCACAGAATAAAAGATTACCAAATTTTCCTTTTAAAAAGCCATTGTTTATGATAATGGGGGGGGAATCTAGCAACCACAATGTTGCTCATCTGACTGTTTATTAATGATACCAAAATTTTAAAAAAGCCATAGTTTACAAAACATTTTATAATTGGAATATCAGGACACTGTACCACTATGCCCTCAAGAATGACATTTAAGTCAGTTACTAGGAAGACAAGAGGGAGAGGGGAGGAGAGCAGAGGATGGGGTAAATGTTAAAAGGAAAATGAGTAATTGTGATACATGCATCCTTTTAACATTAAGTTAAAACATTACTTTTGTTCCTTCACTTATACAATGCACTTAACGGTGGGATGTGGAGACACAGATGATATCCTGCCTTTGAGAATAATTCCTTACTCCCTACCTGATTCCAAGTCTATGGTGTCTATTATGTTTTGGAGATGTCAAATCCCACATTTCATTTGGTCCTCACACAAACCCTTAGGTATCACTGTCCAAGATGGGGACATTAAGCCTAGAGAGTTAGCCTGGTCCACATTCTTCTGATTCAGAAACACAAACTAGATCTGCTGCCATATGCAGACTCTAAATAGTAACAAAATAAATGCCCTTATTTAAAGTATATTTGCTGTTTTACATTTTATGTGAAAAAAAAGTATTTTGGTAAAAATCAGGGAATGGAACAGTTATGAAACACCTCCAAAGTAATTCAGTGCCTGGGAATGACTAAGAAATATACAATAAATATTATTACTTCTTGAGGAGACTAAATGTATAGACATTGGAGAAACCCTTAGAAAACAATATAAGGGTACAAAACAAGACAAAAGTAGCTCAGTACCTTCAGTGTCTACAACAATGCCTGACTCACCACACATGCTCAATAACATGCTCCATGATAAATAATAAATGAAGTTCCCCCAAATATGGCACAGAAAGTAAGGGCTATAGGTCATCAAGAAGCAAAACACCACTTGACAGGCTTCCTGGATGTCATACCAGTGACCAAGAGGGCAGAAGCCAGGAACACAAGAGCTACAGCAAACCTGGGAACAGGAGGCAGGGAACACATTGACAGTGAAGATCAAGGGAAGCTGGTGGGTCACGGAATCACATAAGCAACACAGAGTAGAGCACACTCAGGTCTCCCAGCACAATACCAGTGTACCAATGGTACTTAATTTTAACACCTTATTAGGAAGGCTAAAATATGCTGACTGTATACACACACATACAGTGTTAGCAAATAAACTGATTCCATGCTTTGTAAGGAAACTATATTACAAATAATAAGCAGCATTATTTCCCACAGTTGAAGTCATTCATTTTAAATCCAGATATAAGTTTTCAGCACTATCTTAAACACTGACTATGCCATCTACTGCACAGTATACTGTTATCTATAAAAAACTGAGGTTGAATATTAGCAACTAGAACTTTCTACTTTCTGATCCTTCCAAATTAATATCTGAATATTAGTGTTTTCAAATCCCAAGATTTTAAATAGTATTTAACTATTTCACCATTAGAAATTACTTTCCAGAGAAATATGTATACAGATTAACATGGTTAATTACAAAACAAATTCCTTTTTCTATTAAATATTGGCATTAAATATTTATAGCTAGTGTATCTTTATAAAATTTGTGATTTACTTGATAAATTAAGCCAACTCAGGAAGGGATTAACAAACTGCTCTTTCTGTTACATTGAAATAGCCAATTCTACATGTAGTGAACACTAAGTCTACCTTCCATTTATCTAATGTTTACTTAAGAGATGAACTATTTCAAACATCAATTCATTGTGCTTCTTGATTAAGTCATGAATATTCCCATAATCCCCAACTCATAAACCACCAGTCTCAGTGAATGAAGTCCCTTCTCTTTTTTCTTTTCTTCAGATGACCTGACACCCATTCATGTTTTGGCTCTCTTTATCTCCACACAAAATGATACTGCTACTCATTTTCTTTTTGAGCCTTCTGATACTTGCTCTAGAAGTCTCAAATACAGACTAATCTGTAATTAGGTTTTGAATACACTATGAATACCAAAAGGCCAAACCCAGGAGAAGGTTCACTTCAGTGGTTAATAACAGTTTAGAACAGGAACAAAGAATCACACACAAAACATTACCACATGCACTGCAATAAACCTTTTACAACTTTTCATGTTTTTAAAGAAAGCATGAAGAAACATGCTGCAAACTTACTAATGCAGTATACTTTAAGCAAATCACACATTCAAAGACCCAAAAGTACCTCAACAGAACTGTTCTACAACATGCTGCATACATACTTTGTACCAAGACTGAGGACACCTTGTAGGTGTGATTCTGCTGTAAAAAGCTGTTCACTAAAGGACTGCAAATTAAAGGAACACTTCTTATTATATAATATATATTGTTCCTGAAAAGGCTTGCTTTTTATTAGATAATTAGAAATACTCTTTAGAAGTTCAGTACTTAAAGGAATCATCTAGGAATACAGGGAAACAAGAAAATAAATTTTAAAAAGATGAGCAGAACACCAGATTCAAGATTCTCAAAACTACAGTCAAAATCTTAAATTCAGCACAAGAAAAAATGTGCACCTTTTACAGGTGATGAAAGGAATAACCAAAGAAATGCAGTCAAGGGTGTATAGCTAAACCTAATACTTTTGAATCCTGACCCTGTAGGTTTTTTCCTACCACTAGACATGATTATTTACTTCTACTTGTTACAGAAGGAGGGGGCATCATTTCGTACATCCTGGAAAGATGTTTAAGACTGGTATGGTAATTTCAAAGCTGGGTGGGGCCCCAGACTCCTAGGGGCATCTGTGAAGGTGGTGTTAAGAGTTCTTTGGTTTATTTCCATTGATTCAAAAGTTCAAATGGA